TCATTATTTGCTTCTTAACCTTAATTACATTTATTTTTAGCATCTGGCAGTAATTAGAAATAATAAATACAATCATGAATAATAAATAACTACTGAATTGTCAGAGATTTAAAGTGAGATTATATATGATTAAGCTCTGAACCCTCCCTGATTATTGTGATTCTATTTCAGTGTCTCCCTTGTGATTCTCTAACACTCTTCTCTACAGCTGAGCAATCTGAATTCTGCCCTCAGTTGCTGCTGGGGTGGAGGAATCTCAGAGCTGTTACTGAGTCAACTGGGAGGCAATGGAAGCATTAGTTCCAGGAGGGAACAGCTCAAGGGCAGAATACAAGGGAATTCAGGTGAAGAGTTTTTGTCTCACAAGAGAAAGGAGAAGAGTAAAAAAGATGTGTAGGTGTCATCCAGTGGGACAAAGGGGAGCTGAAGAGAAAACAGGAGAGTAGAATTTGTTTGCTGCTTCAGAATCTATAGATATGTACTCATTTTCAAAACTCACAGCCTCACAAGTACTTTTTCCTCACTTTTCCTTTCCTTCTTTAATCTAAACTCACCAAGATTTCTCTGCTTTTTCCTTTTCTGTCCTGTAGTATTTACATCTATCCTTTGCTTAAATCCCTTCTAAAGGAAATAGATATTACATACTTGTAAACGTTCTCTTCCACAGATTTTTTGGATAGCTGCTTACTTAGAGAGGACATTTACGAGTATTTTTGTTCATATAATGCTATGGGTATGAACAACAGGCCTGAAAACTATAACTGCCAGTTCTGCAGTCCATCTGAGTGTAGTGCAATGCAGGGAAATAATTAACAAGTCAGTAATGCATCCAAATGCTAATATTTGCGTTACTGTTGACATAGAGCAAAACTGCTGATGGAAGTATTTATCAATTTCAATGCAGGTACAGATGCTATCTTGATAAGGTGAAACTAGGCTTCATCCTAGCCTCAAAGTGATCACAATGATGTATGAAGTATTGTGGGTTTTGTATTTGTGATTCTTATAAAGGATGCTGAGCCTGTTTGCTAATGTACAGGAAGAGCTTAGTGAGCTTAAACTGCGGGATCACAAGACTCAGGGTTTTCCCCGCAAGACTTAGAATCAGTAGGTAGCTTCTGTGCATGATATTTCATTCAGTGTTTGTCTGAAGATGGACATATTGAAGTGATGACCATGAAGAATATCTAGTCTAGCTATTTTACTTCTGTTTTCCCAAAATTAATATTACTGCATTTAATTGATATGTATCCAAAATCCAGTGTGACCCACTCTATTAAATTAGGAGATATGTAAAGTAGGTAAAATGATTTCAAAATATTTTGTAGTTGATTTGTTTTATTACCTTTCTATAGACCCCCCCCCCTTCTTCAAGTTTTGAGACAGTAAGACACATTTTGAGCACCTTAATCAGTGTATATAATGGTCACATATATAATGAAGTAACAACAAGAGCTTGATGTAAAAATGATTTTAGCCGTCCTGAGAATCCAAGAAGTGAAGGTGGACACTGACTGCCAAAGTTATAAACTACAAAAAAATGCCATGTACATGAAAAAGAGCTATCAGCTGTTAGATCATATCTGCTGTCTCCAAGTATGGTGATATGCTCCCGAGAGTAGGGATAAGCTGTAATTGCATTACAGAATTCGAACTCTATGGAAGCTCTTCCTTAAGCAGGCAGCTTCTCTTAGTGCAGCTGAGTCCTAATGAACATTTGTTGTGAGCGCAAAGATAATAGAATTGAAGTCAAGAGCTCTTTGATTAAAGATATATTTAGGTAGATGGGAACAAGTAGAAATTTTGACAGTTATATCAACAGTACTAACAAAATTGAACTGCTTCTCAAAACTAGATCCCTACTGCTTTTAAACTTCAGTAAGGCAGAGAATCTGTATATGGAGACAGGGGAGGTGTATTTCCCAGAACAGGAGATATTAGGGAAGAATTAAAAAGATGCTGGAATTACGTATTTGGGCTTTTTTAAGGCTGAGAAACAAGCCTTTCATTTCCACTTTTAACTTTAAAACTAGAAAACAAAATGTGGACAAGTTGAAAACAAATCAATTGCTTTGACTTAGGAAAAAAATTTCCTGGAATATTTCAACATCAAATCTATAACTATCACAAAATCATTTGTAGAATTTGGACTTCCATATTCTTTGCAACTCTACAAACTAAGTGTACTCCATGGGTTTTTGGAAGAAAATAATTTTGCAGTCAATGAATTAAAATGTAAGCTGAGACAGACACGTACAGCAGCACCTTAGTGACTTGAAAAGCAAAAAATCTAAGTTAGTAGTGGTGCCGCAGGATATGGTTAGAAAAGAAGGGAGAAAAAAATATCCTGAACTTGCAGGATATTTTCCCTGAGGAATGATAGCTCTTATGTAAATAATCACTTTAGAAGTACATACATTTTTCATTCCACAAATTGACTTCACCTCTTTTGCCCTTTTCTCTGATGCAAACCTGTGCCAAATTTAGCAAGCTTTATCATTCTGTTGTTAAATATCACAGTTACAAACATCAAGAGTTATGTAGGAACGCTTCTTGTTCTAAAGTAATATCTTAAAATCTTCAAGTTGGTGCGGAATAATAATCTTTGTTGGATAACACTGTAAATGGCAGAGGTAGTTTATGAGCAACGTTTGAAAGAAATAAAGCTCCTTAGCATCTTCTGTGGTGAAGTAATGACTGGGAAAAATAGAGATAAAATAAGCAGCAGAATTGTAGGGGACTGCAGGCCTGGATGCAGTACTCTAGATGGGGTCTGGCGAGAGCAGAGGTGGACGATCACCTCCCTCACCTTGCTGGCCACCCTTCTTGATGCAGCCCAGGATAATGCAATACAAATATTTTCTAGTTAAGCATTAAACTTGCTGTATGCAGCTGTTTGTTCTGCATGTAAAAGCAACAAAAAGCATTTACATTGCTGAGCAACTTTGGCACTAGAATTCATGATCAATGGATAGAGCAGAAGGTACACTCAGTGCCCATGCTGCCTGGCTCTGGGTTTGACTATGTCTACGACCCCCCAATAACTTCACAGAAATACCTGGGTACTAGCAGAAGGAGGATCAGAATCTCCCCTAAATCTTTACTTATTTATAAATTTTTTCAGTCATTTTTTTTTGCAACTCTGTGTTCTGGGCTGGAGCTTACTTTATTTTCTTTTGTGATGAGTGTGCACATCTTAAATGGCTTATTTTTTCTCTTAGCTGAAATGGTTGGTGGAAGCACTTCTGAAAAAAGATGGGTTAATAATGCATCACTGAGGAAAGTTTTTTCTAGGCAGTTAGCAATCAACTTTTGTTCTTGGAACTTGAAGCCTTTCTTGGATTGATATTATATTACAATATATGCAATCTGTAAATATCAGTTATTAGTGCCTTTTACGATTTTCTAGCCTCCTGCTTCAGGAATTATACAATCATAGAGTGGCTTGGGTTGATAGGAACCTGAGAAAACATCTAGTTCCAGCCCCCGTGTTGTGGGCAGGTTAAAAGAGTCACATAATTTCTGTTCTCCATTAAGAAATCTTCCAGTTCCTGTGAAGAAAATTCATTTTATATGTGGCAACTAAAGCTAAATACACAGCTCAGTGTGATGCTATGTTTTTAACACATGGATTCCCACTATGACTGGCCCCAGCTTTTGTCTTTCTCAGTTTTCTCTCTCCAGTAGCTGCCCTTGTTAGGTATGTCATTGGAAAGAGCAACACAGCCCTCAGTAAGGAAATAAAGAGCCTAAAGTGGAATATCTTCCCCTATCAGTCTTTTATTAAGTTGTGCTATGAAAAATGAGAACCTGTATGGCTACATATTTTTACTGGACCAAAAGCATCTTCTGTGTTTTTGTTATAGGGATAACTATTTAATCCATCCTGATGGCCTATTATTCTTGTAGTCTCAATGTTGTCTTCTAGCATTAAATTTTACTTCAGGTTAATCAACTACTCTAGGAAACAAATTTTGCCTTCTACCATTTGTATATATGTTGTCTTTTCAATTTTACTTTATGTCCAGCATAGCTTTATTTTTCCTTTTCCTACTGTTCACTGTTTTCCTAACTTGTACAATGTCTTCTATTCATTTATTTTCTAAAGCAAATGTTTCCAGACATCTTAGTTAATTCTGCTTCAGTAACACTTTTGTGTGATTTTAAGTACTTTTATTTCATTTTTGTTATATTACAAAATATAATTTTTATGGATGAGGTTTTGAAATATAACTCTAATCTGTGGGTTGGCAATAGCACAGCAATAGCAGAACTGTGATTCCTTTGATTACATGTACTTTCTTCAGTTCATTTTCCCATGATCCTATGTTTTCTGGGAAGATTTCAGAAGGGCATTCAGTGAAGTTCTCAAAACCTTCACAGTACATCTTCACTTTCTGAGCATTCTGAAGTACTTAGTTAACATTTTAAATCTGCTAAATTGATTTTGTTATATTCCAATTAAGGGGTGCATTGTGTGTTTTGCAAATATTTTGGTATGGTTTACTTCAGTTTTTAAAATCCTCATGTATTTGTCAAACACAGATGGAAGGTGGTGAGTATTTGGAGTGAAGTGATCTACTGTTGAGACTATAAATTCATAATCTTTTGAGGAGTTGATCTTGACATGCCTCAGTATCAAAGCATTGTCATTGCATTTTAAGACACTTTAAGTCCCATTTTCTAGAATGCTGTCCAAACATGAGTTTATCTCCTGTTACAGCTAGCTGGCATCTGTAAAAATCCAGTCACAAGGTACTAGAAAATGGGTGATGCAAAGTGGAAGGCTTTTCACTGTTCAGAGAAAATAAATCAGGCATTATTTTTCACATCTAAGACTTTTGCAAGTGAGAACATGGAAAAAGCTTTATGATGACTAGAAAATGTACTAGCTTTGCCTAATTTTCACTACTGATGAAGTAGCATTTTTGCAAGAAATGTAAAATTTTATCTAGGAAAAAAGAGTTCTGATTGCAGAATCTTTTTTTTTTAATCCTCAGATCGAAACGTCCAGTGCCAGTTTCAACCACACCACCCAAAATTGACTCACCCAGAGCTGTAATTCCCCACCAGAAGGTATGTGACATAGTTATATTCAGCCAAAGTTAACATTTTTATCTACCACAGTGAAGGTAAATACCTACTACTGAAAATATATTTTGTCCATCCTAAATAAATATTGAATGAACGCATAGGAAGCAAAACTGATTATAATGTACCTGATGACCTATATTTTGCTAGTTTCTGATTAACAGAACCAAGGCATCTAGCTGTCCTATGATCTCATTCTGAGTAAAGAATCTGTTGTCTTCCTGACTTTTTTCATGTAAGAAAGTGGCTACCAAATGCTGAAAATAGACACTTGTTTTTGTTTGTTCTTGGGGAAAAACCCTTTAGACTGTGCCTCAGTGTAACTGAATCCAGGCTACAACTGGAAATGCACTGATTTGAAACACAGACATACCAGAGAATTGAAGATTTGCATCATATCGCATTCTTGTTGCATTGTTCAACAAACATCAAAATAAAACGATGAGTCGATTTAGTGAATAACAGCAAATGGCAGAGGAAATGGATGGCTTGGCTTCTGTTCTTAAATGTAGTTAGTTTCCATAATTTAAATGTTTGTATTTGAACAACCATTCAGTGACTCTCTGACAAGACATCAGATATATTTTGGAGAAACTGAGGAGTTAGGGTGCCTGACAGATGGTATACATCCTAAGGCTAAAGCACTGAGGAGGATGTTTGTATTGGTGATGCGTTTAATTAGATAAATGGAGGGGAGGTAAAATCTCTCTTACTGAAATTTTATTCATTCTGCATCAGTTTCATCCCAACCTTGTAACATAAGAAAGAAACATTCATGATCAAAAGGCATGGGGAACTAGGTGATCTCCTCCTACTTTAATAGTTCAAATTTCTGGTGATAATTTGTAAAACATTGTTTAAAATAAACACCATACTTTCCAAATTCAAAACTTAGGAAGTTGGCATCATCCATGTAACTACCATAGGCACATAGAAGCTAGCAAGAAGCTAGAAAACACAACCAGGAAGAATAATTTGAGTCAATTTTATTTTGCTAAATTTGACATGAACTTGAAGAGCTGTTTATTAGTTGAGTCAGAAAAAATGTTACTTCATTCTGGATCTTGTAATCTTTTTGGTGAGGGAAGAAATCAATAATTGATCTTGCTCAGAGTTATTTCTCCTTATATCATGATTTTACAAGTGTTATCTAGGAGAAAGTTATTGGAAGACATGCCAAACAGTACTTAGAAATTCCTGGGGAAAAAAAGGGTGGATCATTCTTTCAATTAGATTGGTGTTCCAGTGCACCAGCAAAATACAGGGCAGGAAGGGGAATCAAGTCCTTATTTTCCTTTAAGAACTACACAGAGTGCTGTTAGTTTTCAAGGCAACAAGTACACGATCTCTCTTCAGAGCTATTCCCCAATGCAAGACTGGTGGCTCTCTTTTGAGACCTTCACTAACACCTACACAGGTATGACAAGTTTGACTACTCTCACTGCAGGCCTATAAAAGCCTGTATAAAAATGCATCTATTTGTACGGTTCTGTTTTAGGCATGATCCTTCCATAGCAGCTGTCAATTTGAAAATTATTGCCATAGGCATTCAAAGCTGCTTACTACACAAAACTGTTTTCCATACCCAACTACCCTATAGAAGAATTAACTCTACACACTGTAGGTTTTTAAAAACACCTGTGACACAGAAGTCATAAAATGCACCTCACGTTTCCTATTTTGATCTGCCTAAGTGATATAATACCACAGGATCTGATTCTTTTTCAAGAGCATGTTGTCTTACACTTGAGCATCCTGTGTATCCTGGCTTAGGAAAAGCTTATAGCAGCTACTGAAGGTAGGATTGTGAATGGGGTACAAGAAGTAGTTGCAGCTGGAAAAGAGAATTTGTAGCACCTTTATTTGGAGAAGGTGACATCTACGTGAAGGCATGGTGGGGAACTGGTTTTCTGACAGTATTCAAACAGGCCAGAGATCCTGCCTAAAAAAAAAACTAGTGGAACAGGTAGCAGTGGAGTGCTGGAGTGGGGGGCCATTAGCAGGTTAGGAGTGACAGTTTTGTTTTGGAGCATGGAAGTTGCTGACCAGATATAAAAACAAGCCTACTGAAAGCCAGCAGTATGTCTTCCTGGCCTAAAACTTTTATCTGAGTAATAGAAAAATAGTTGAAGTGGACAACAGTGAGTTTAGTTGTTATAAAGTAATAACGGTAGTGTTGAGTGCAGAAAGTGGAATTCTTCTCTGAGGATGGTTTGGAATGTAATGAAGGCATTGACCCTTTGGAAAATAGGTTTCAAAATCCAGAATAAAATTTTAGTGGCACAAACAGCAGTGTGAGGATGTCACAATAAGATATGTTACACAGTAAGTACACTTTAAAATCAATGTTTCGTTGTTTATCCCTATATTATTCCTGTTAACACTGTCACTGTAGAAATGAAGAGTTCTTTGACACATATGCAAGAAGCTGCCACCTCCACATCACTGCTTGACAATGTTTAGACTTTGATGGTTCACTTGAAAAGAGTTAAGTTGCCTTACCAAGATAGCAAAAAATGACGTTACGAAACAAATCATGACAGTGCTGACCTCAAACATCAAGGGAAGTTTTTCTTACCTCTTTCTGGTGAAGGTTAAGCCACGGCAATGTTAGCTAAAAAAAAATCTGCATGTGCAAGCTCAGTGTCTTATTATAAACCATACATTCTTGTGTATGTTATTCTGATCAGAATGTAGCTTCCACTAATTTTGAAGCATGTGTTTCTTCTTTGTTATGGTCATCACTTTCTGCACTAAAGAGAAATAAAGGTGCATTTTTTAAAAAAAGATGTAAGGAAGGACAATAGGATTTTTCCTATCTATCCCAAGTAATACATTCTCTAATTACCTTTTTGAGCTGATTGATGTTACAGATGGTACAAGTTCTGCAACTATAAGTATGGCTTCAGCTGAGCTGCAAGATATTACTGAAAATAAGAGTTAAACTGATTTGCAGTTCCAGTATTTTCTTCTCTAACATTAGTCTTAAACTTGAAACAGTTTTGATTTGTGATGTTTTAATCAGATATGTCACCACAGATGTAGCATAGGTGGAGGAGGAGGAGATAACTATGGCTAAGAGCATTCAAACAGAGAGAAGAGTAGGTATGAATCCAAGGACTTGAGATGAAGCCATTACCAGTCAGTGAGCTGCTGCCAGCTTTTCAAGCGTGCATAATAGAGGCGAGGATTCAGCTCAGTGCAGTTCAAAGTAGTTGACCCGAGCCTTTAAGGCTAAGCACTGATTTAACATTTTTCCCTTTGTGTAAAGGTATTAAGAAAGCCTCTTTAATTGTTATAATATAACTACCTTCCTGAACACACACATTACAGAATCCCATTGAGGATCTCATAATGTTAAGGACTTGTTTCCTGACAAATTTAGGTACCCATGTGGCTAAGAGAAAATAGATGAAGGGAGGATAGGTCTCTTTAGCAAGCTGTACTATGGAAAAGAAGGCTGAGCCAAAAGCTATTTGTTGAGTGTCTTTGAGCAGACTCATTTAATGCCATTGTGCCTCTATTTTCTTTTATATAAAAAGCTTAAAGTAACACCTTTTTCTTGGGCATGCTGGGAGGTCAAATTCATTACTGTAGTGGAAGAGATGTAAAACCATTCTCCCAGAAGTGCTAAAAGCCAGAGTCATTTATAATAAAGGCTGTATGGACTATAAGAAAGAGACAAAAGGTACTTGAGCTTTCAAAAAAAGGGGACCTGAGAAACTGGTGAAGTATTTTTCTATATAAATGTTTCTCGCTTCTCCAATATATAAAAGCAGAATTTGCTCTTCACAGAAATATCTATAAGAAAAAGAACTAATAATATTGCAGAATAGAAACTGAACTGATTTGTTGCTTCCTTGAATTCCCAAATGTTTGAGATTCCTCTGCATTTGTCAGTTTTAAGCTCATTCACTGCCATTACGCTGGGAAATTAAAACCCAGTTTTCCCTCGCAGTAGGAGATTTCTGCAAGCCCACTGCTCAGTGCCAGAGCCTCCTCTTCTGGTCGGCTGAAGAGTAGCAACACACTGGCATAGTTGTAAACGTCATCTTGCCCTTCCAGCCGCAGTGATGACAAGGCAGATTGGGATGAGAGACAGTTGGGAAACAAGGGGGTGCTTGTTACTGTTGGCTGTGTTTCCTGAGAAGTAATGCTGCTACTCAGCATTAGAAATCTGAACTTCATATTTCAAAAACTGTTTTCCTGTATTGATCTGCTGTCGTGACTGACCTGAAAGAAAAAAATAGAGAAGGAACAGTATTTTATTCTAAGATATAGTCCCAGGAACAATCCCAGGATGAGGGATCACAACAGCAAAGAGATAGTAAGGTGATTATTGGGCAGAATATGGAAAAGAAATTGTATCACTGCTCTTTTATCCACTTCGTGTTTCATCCCTTTCTCCCCAGATAAGGGGAAACACCCTACACTTGAACTAACACGAGTATTAACTTAAAGTGGAGAATGCTAACCTGGCACTGCTGGGTTACTATGAACTCTAGTAATGAGTTGCTAGTGTGCTACTCTTCCAGCTAGAAATTGCTTGTGGAATGAAAGCAAAGGTTCGTTTATGTCGTAAAGCTTGGTAAAATCATCAGCCATTGTTTCTTAGGGCTTCCCTGTAATTTTCCTTTCACTTACTGTTAGTGTTCAGTAACACTAAAATAATGAAAATGAGTTCTGATTAATGAAATATCTGGATTTTAGTTCACTAGCAGTTCTATAATATGGATGCTGTATAGTCAGATCTATTTGCATGTCCTTTTATTCCAAGGTTTAGAAAGGAAGTTCACAGTAAACATAGATAGAAGCCAATGATTTTTCAATGTAACAAACTAATATAGCTCCTTCAGATACTTTTTCTAGTCAATCACCTCTGTACTGTTTTATTATTTGTCCCCTTTCAGCTAGCACGTAACGTTCGTTTGCACAAGTGGTGACTTAGCTTGAGAACACAGCTTTGTGTGTTTGCTGCTTTTAAAAAACATTTTGAGAGACAATAAGTGCTTTCTATTTATTCAGTAATACTTGGAAACATGCAGTAGGCCACTTAAGACTGGTGGGTTGCTGTTTTCAGCGTCGCAGTATGATGATTGGAGCATGTAATTCCATTTTATTTATTAACTTTAAAAGGAATAGCACTTCACATTTATTTCTACAGCCCCAGGCAGCTATTAATGCCAGCTAAAATCTCTTCATGTTTATTAACGAACAAGTTCTAAGTTCATTTTATTGGACTGCAATATTTGGTTCAAAACATTCTAAATGTATTAATCTTATAATTCTCTCCCACATATTTAGCTTTGTTGGATGGGTTAGTTCTTCTACAATTAGTTATAACTGATCAGTTCATATTATCTTGATTTTCCAAATATACTCAACCTCCCTAAATCTTAAATATGCAATATAGAAAAATCTAAGAGGATAAAGTAAAATATATATCTTTCTAGTGAACCTCAGTATCGAAGTAAAGAAGTTTAATGATAACCTATACCAGCAAACATAGAGAATCAGAGGCTAAATTTTTTGCAGGTGTATGGCTCATGTAAGGCTATGGGGAAGTGCATGTAGTATGTTAAATATGGCAAACACAGCAGTGCCAGTCCAAAGCAGGCAAAATGTCCCTGTAGGTTACTACCTGCTCTTGTACTAGCTTTCACTGAGAGCAGCTTGTGAGCTCTGTCCTTTCTTCAGAGTTGTGTCCCCTTCTTGTTCCTGTCCCCCAAGGTGGACTGCAGCCTCCAGCTGGCTGGATCTCTGAACTGTGAGTGTGTGGGTACCTGGGCACCTGTTACAGCTGCAGGTACAGAGAGAAACATGGGAGTGATCCTACTCTAGAAAAACATGCAGAACCCAATTTAGACTGGAGCCAGGATTCTAAGCCTCTCAGATAAAATTCAGGTGGTAATTATGGGCTCTAGAGAAACCTGTAAGTTGCGAAGCACTAAAATATTTTGTTGGGCATCTCAGCTATAGAATATCTTATCCAAATTACATAATTACAGACACAAAAAATATAATAAAGTAGCTACTTTTGAAACATTTTAATTCCTTATTTTAAAAGATGCACAGAGTGAGTTGAACTCAGGATTCTAGGTTCAAAAAGCAAGCATGGGAAAAATGTTATTAGTATTAGTATTAGAATTTTGCTTGTCACTGAGCCTTTAAGATTTTAACTTCTGTGTTTTCCCTTCATTGCCAGAAGGGCTGTCAAAAATTTTTTATTGTAAAAATTGTTTTACTTACTCTTCTCGTCAACCACAGCTTTGACAAGAGCATTAGATATTTCAGAGTACGCCATTAAATGTTGAGAACTGTTTAAAGTCACAGAAGTGAATGCCTCTGAAAACCTTTTTTTCCTCAAACATGGAACACTTCTGCATCATACCCTAGATCGGGTAATTTTTATAATTGATCATGCTAACATTTTCTTCATGTTGCATGAGGAAACCTTCCCAAAGCTACAAATGCAAAACATTTTCAAAGATGCTGCGTGTAGGGAGCATGAACTGCTGAACAGACGAGTTAAAACATGAAGATGGTGCTTTGCTTAAATGAAAAAAGGAAACTTCAGAGTTAGGTATTGTCAAGACAAAGAGCTGACAAGTAGACTGGTAAAAAGTGTTTTTTTTAATATACATATCCAAAGCACTAGTAGTTTTCTATTATTGTAATATTACATAAAAAGAATAAGAAAACAGAGAGCAAAGTCATAAAAGGCCCACCTGAAAGAGCAGTTTATATCACTCTTTGATAAAATTGTTCATACTATAAGCAGGCAGCCTTCCAAAAAACACAGAACTGCAGTCACTGCACCCTGCCTGTAGCTGGAACCAAAGGGTGGTTTAACCCTAAGTGTGCTCAGTGTGTCCTGTGAAGTGCTCAGTGCTTTCCAGTTCCAATGATTTAGATGGTGCTATACCAAAATAAGTTTGAACTGAAGGGCAGAAAAAGGAAAAGGATGTTTTAGCTAATGTGAGAACAGAAGTTTTACATGCACTTTCTAACTGATGTTCAGGTGGGTTTTTTGATAAGTATTACTTCTTCATGTTGCAGGAGAAGCATTATTTTTCTATTTTGATATTACCCTTTACTTCAGTTGCACTAAACTGCATTAATAGTAAATCATGTATTAAAATGAAGCATAGTACTGTCTTATACAAGTTTACTAGTTTCTGCTAGTACACTTCTAATTTGAGAATCAGCACAGACATTTGTGAGTGTAGTTATTGTTAGGAGAGTTTACTGTGACTTTGACTGCAGTCCTAGTTAGAAACACTATCTGGGATGTAGCCATAGGATCATAAAGCCATCAGCCATGTACTCATGCACACACTCATTCAAGTGGAAATTATACAGAAATTGTCAGAATATAGAGGCATTTTGTCTGTAGAACAGATATCTATTCTTGAATCCATTTGGTCTATTTGCTAACAATGATGCATGGCCTAATCAGCATGAACCAAAGCCTGTGAAAGCAATGCAAGGTGTGGGCTTCAATAACTTTAAGTGTACTCATGAAAAATAGAATTGTGTGGTTTAGAATAATTATGTTTTTGTAATAATAAGATTGACTTTTATGTTTGTATATCATTTCAGATAGTTCTGACCTTAGGATATTCTTTAAGTTTTCTTAATTATCTTAGAAACTAATAGACAGTGTTGTATTTGTATACAATCATTGCTATGAAGCTGACCAATAGCAAATGCTCTTCTAATAATAAGCTTTAATTTGTTGGTTTGAACTAAAAAAAGGATAAAAAGTGCTTGAGTATGTTTTACTTCCCTGATTTTGAAACAGTGAGCTTCTTTGTTGAAAATCTTCCCTGAAAGGTTGGATGTTTTGGCACTTAATCCGTTTGTTGCTAGTTTATCAATATGTTTAGAAAGCAGTGATTGCAGATGTATTATTTTTTGCATGTGTTCTATGATTGCTCTTTTCTTTTTTTTTCTTTTCTTGGCCTGCATGTTTGCTACTACAGGAACCTGCTTGGGAAATCAATGGCAACAGAGCAACCTTCAGTCCTCTAACTAACACGGCGACTGGGCCTATGGGTAGTGTTTTAGCAACCAATGGAACATTTTCAGGCTACTTCAACAAGGAAGAGATCAGCTTTTCAAATAGCTCTTCTTACTTAAAGACTACTGCAGTTAGATCTTCCATGTCCTCTCAGTCCGTGACTCCTGACGTTTCACCTGCAAAGAGTAATCTAGGTTCAAAACTAAGCCCTCTACTGACTGATGGCAATAGTCCTGTACGCCAGCTGAGCCCTGCAAGGCAATATAACAACCCTATTGGCCTTTACTCAGCAGAAACTCTAAGGGAAATGGCTGAGATGCATAAATTAAGTCTCAGACGGAGGGCTTCAGAAGGTGGACTTCCTATAGGGTAGGTAACGTGGTAAAATATTTCATGTTTCAATAAATTCATAGTAATATTCAAACAAGATTTTGTTGGAAAATGAATGTAATAGTACCTGCCCTGTTGTTCATTTGTGTTGTAGTCATGATTGAAGTTTGGAACGATTTTTAAACTGTTTAGTACCTCCAAAAACATATTCACAGTACCATTACAGAGTAAGGTCTTTGTTATCTGAATTGCAATATGAATTGGCAATAATCATCAGAGCATGAGAAGAACCACAGTGACAGTGGCATCTGTAATCTAGTCAGAGCTGTGGCATTTTCAGTTTTAAAATGATGTTTGTATTCTCCTAGAACAAAGTATCCCTACCAGCCATTACAGAAGCAGCTACAGTAGAGATTTGACCCTTTACTACTTTCCTAAGGAAGAACTGCTTTGACCAGCAAGCCAGACAAGCTAGTGCACTGCAATGTCCTGCTTTAATCCCTCCCTTGTATGTATTGGCTTCCTTACGTAAAATGAGTTAAAGTGCCATTTGTTGAATCCTCTGGTTTGAACATAATCTGTCTTACATCTGATTGTTGTGTTCTTAACTAGTATACTAAGAAGGCATGATCTGCAGATGCTCCCTACAAAGTTTGATGTCACACTGTCAAGGTTTTCAGTGTGTTAATGTATTCCAGAGAACTGCGTTACTCTTAGGTATGTGACGTAACTCAGACTGCAGCATGTGAGGAGAAAAGCAATGAGAAATGAGTTCTCCTTTTTCTGCCTTCACGAATTAATCTGCTACTATATTTATTTTGTTTATTCATGCCTATTTTAAAATGAAGTTTTATCTTGGGAATATGGGAAAATTCCCTTCTTCAATAGGAGCAAATTGTTTACGCGAGACAACAAAAATTTCAGGCAATCTATTCAAGATGTGATTATAAATGCACCTTTTCAACTACTTTATATGCAAATGCAGAAGAGTTTCACTTTTTGCTACAGTAAAATGTAAGGGTTTAAAGTTTTTGGAAAGGATATTTTATTCCTATGAAAGAGCATGTATAAATGCTTTAGGTGGTTTCTTCTGGTTCAGATAATTTATTGTAATTCTCTTGGGCATTCGTGATAATGATGTCTGGAGCAACTCCCATGTGAAGAAAGGCTGAGGGACCTGGATCTGTTCAGCCTGGAGAAGGCTGAAAGGAGATCTGATCAATGTTTATATGTAACTAAAGTGCAAGAGGCAATTGGATGAGGCTAAGCTCTTTTCAGTGATGTGTAGTAAAAGGACAAGGAGCAATGGCCACAAACTGGAACATAGGAAGTTCCATGCGAATAGGTGGATTAACTTCTTTACAGTGAAAGTGACAGAGCACTGCAACAGGTTGCTCAGAAAGGCTGTGGTCTCTCCTTGTTTGGGGATATTGAAGATCCATCTGGATGCCTACCTGTGCAATCTATTGTAGGGAACCTCCTTTAGCAGGGAGGTTGGACTTGGTCTCTAGAGTTCTCTTCCAACTCCTGCAATTCTGTAATTCAGTGATTCAGCATTTCCGCTCCTAATAACTTATCAGAAGAAATCCTACACTCTCTTTGCATGCTGGATAATTAAGAAGGGCAATTCATGCTTAAAAGAAAGCAGGATCATAGGCAAGGTCAGCCAAGTATGCCTCAAAATGCTTCTCATTTACAGTTTTCTTGAGGAAAGCTAATTGAAACACTGAGCAACTGGGGAAAGGACCAGCTCAGCCCAGGGAGCACAGGTGAAGGCAATTCAGCTGTGTGACAGGAAGGGATGGAGCCTGGCTGCACCTCTCTTAGACCCCTTTTAAGGGCTGACTGCCACTGGGGAAGGATCTCTGGTTGGAGATCCCTCCTTGGTGAAGTTTTCCCCTGTGAACCTGGAATCTTCTGATACAGAGCAATGTTCCTCCCTTCCTGTATAACACCTTTCTATCATGCCAGTCCTTCCATCATCACACCTCTGTTGTGACGCCTTTCCCTCGTACTGATCTATCCAATTGCTACAGCAATTCTGTCTTTGTTCTATGGTTTTTCCATGTTGTACACATAATCAAAATGTACAAGGGCTGCTCCAAAAGTAATGCCTCCTATTTTATTATGTGGGCCCACAGTATCAGAGGTGGATACTGATGGTATGGAAGTGGAGATTGAACCTTCCCATCAGTACTTCATTAATTTTTTTTCATGTGTGATAGATGGCAGCAGAGGGGCAGTCTGACAGAATGGCACTTGACATGGAAGTGTGTATGAACTTGAATGACAAGACAGTATATGAAAAAATCATATAAATGTTCTGTTTAAAAAAACAAAACCACATTAAAACTGCCTTTATCCCATCTTCTCAGGTAATTCTCTGAGGTTTAGAGCATTCTAAATCTGTTTACATGCAAATAAACTTATGAATACATTAAATATTTCCCAATCCCAGTGGAGTGTTAACCATAAAATGAGAGGCATCATTCTAATCGCTCTTAGTGAAGTGATAGTAAGGTGAAATACGTAACTACCTTGGGACTTTGTATCATTCATGTTTGTCTCCATTTTGTTATGTGAAAGAGCATGCAAGGAAGGCACTCTGAGCCCTGCAAAATCCATTCTAGACTTTGTTGCTTTGGATGAGATACTGTATAGAGGTCGTGAGATTCTGAAACTTCAAAACTGCATTCATGGGCATGCACTTATCAGTGGAGTAAAACCTATAAGAAAATGCAGGTTTGGGGGTAAATTTGAAGATGCATTTTGTTTCGATTGGTTGAAATACAAATTCAATTTGCTGTTTTCACCAAATCATTTAAGCTCAGTTGTGTGAATTGCTGTCAGAGGTTTCACCGCGAAAAATCCTGTCAGTAAGCTAAAACTAATTTTGAGATTTATTCTGAAGAAGTCAAGGAAACATAGAGCATTTGTTGCTCTGATGCACTTTTACATAAAGAGTTGAGAATCCTGAGCCAGGGTAAAAAAACACGGAGTTGGTTCATTAGAAGTGCAGAACTTTATGCTCCTGAAGGGGAACATTAGTAAATGTGAAGAATGAGTGACAACTTCTAACGCGTTCTTTTTCATTCCAGTGTAAGTTAGTTTTCACATTGTAGGTCAAGGGCTGTTGATACCTGTCCTGCACGTACTTGCCAGGTGGCTTGGGTTACTTGCTTCTTACTGCGTGACCCCCGTGAGCAGCAAGTTGGGTCCTTCATGTGTCCATATTTAGGATTAAGCTTAAATAGTGTGTGGCTCAGAACCAGAGAGGATTTTCTCATAGCATACCGAATATAAACAAACTCCTCTTTGAAGGAAACCGATAACACCTTCACACCTAAAAAAAAAAATCTTTGATATGTGGCTGTTGAGCTGTTCTTAGTATACACATGTAATGATTTTCATCTTTGCACATATTTTTGTTTTTGTAATATATCCTTTCATTAAAACCAATGGTAAGGATCCTGTAGTTCTGTCATTGTATGTGTAAAGCAAAGACTTGGATTAGAAGATTAAAGCATCCACCAGAATCCACTTCAGAAAATGATACTCTTACACCGTATTTCTTTGTAAATGAGTGCCCAGCTGTCGTCCTGTAGGTACCTAAAATGGACATAGGATCAGTGATATGCTTACAGGCTACAGCTTGTTCCTAATATAGCTCTGCTGGTTCCTGTAACAGATTGTTATATTTGGCTTTATGTAGGGTTTATAAAATCAGAAGAATATTCCTGAGTCTGAGAGGCTGAAGAACAGTAATTGCAGAAGGTGGTCTGTTATGTCCTTTCCGTGGAAATGCAGAAGTACAAATCCTTTACTGCAGTTCTGACTCACAAGAGGATTTTTTCAGTCATGAGAAATGCATCAGGGTGAACCAATTGCAAAATGCTTGTATGTTTAAAAAAAAAAATAAATAAATAAAAGGCAGCATATCAAAGATTCCCCAAAAGAAAAAGCCTAACATTCTGGCTTGAATGTCAATCTAAAATTGCTGTCCAGTGCTTTGTATCAGTCCCACATCTGCTCCGGATCCAGCACTGCAGTAGCAAGTTGGAAGGGGTAGTGCCCAGTAACTGTGTTGCATGAAGCTAAATAAGAAGAAATGATTACGAATTGATTCTGAACTCTTTGTTATTCATTTGCTCAAATTATGATGCATTTCTCCTCATCTGTGAATATCATCTAAGCTTTGAAGGAAGTAAAGGAAAATATACATGCAGCCCATGAAAGCCATTGTTGAAATCAACAGAAGTTATTAGCAATGACATAAAATATGACAGTCTGAGCATGCTCTCTTCATTGCTCCCAGCTTTGACTGCATAAGACTTATGTTTTCAGCTTGGTATTGTGTTTCTTTTGGAATTACCATTCAAGTCACAGTCTCTTCTTGCTTATGGAGTGAAGCAGAATACACCATGTGTTTTTTCAGGCTGTGTACATTGCACAGGAAATAAAGTATTCAGATAAGGATTGCAAAAAAAATACAGACCACAAGGACTGTCTTCGCAGTGAGAAAATTAGGAATATCTATGCTTAAATTAATTGGCTTACACCGTTGCCGGCATAATGTATGTGCAATAGAATTTCAGCCAATAGCTTGTTAAATAATAAGGCATATTCCTCAATTTTAGATTTAAAAAATTTTTTTAATATTCTCCAGCAAGTAAGACAAAAAAGTCAATCTTGCAATACTGATTTTGAGGATGACCTGACTAGAACAAATTTCACCCCTGAATATTTAGTACCTAAGGGATGAATATAATCTCTATAACACATTTACTATTTTTAGTTGAGAATATAATCTGCAAACACTTTTTTTTCCTACCATACACTTTGATAACAGCACATTCAGGGATGTACAGTAATAACATCATGCTCAAGGGTCAGCCAAAATGCCATAGTACCTACTAAATCCATGTAGATAAACTATAATCCCTGCATTTTTTCCTTTCTTAATCATGTTGGGGTTTTCAGGCATACATTTATTTTTGCTCTTATTTGCAGATGGTCTTAAAGCTTTAGTAAGCTGTAAC